CAAACACATATGGGTTCGGACTGAGTTACAGAAGATGAGATCAAAGAACTACAGATGGAAAAAATAATAAGATTCTGCAAGCAAACCGGAAGGTTTGAAGGGGACACGGGGAGAGTTGGATGACCCAAAACCTCTACAAGGAGGAAATGGGGAAATGGGTGAAATGGTCAGCTGATAACGTGGACTGGTCACTCGTCCTCAGGTGTCCCCGAAAGAAAATAAAAAATAATGATCAGGTTGAATAGAATCATTGCTCTGGGAAGTAGAGAGACCATATTTAACTGGATATTCTATTGACGGGCTCGATGGTCTAATGGTAGCAATGTTTGGCTAATAATCAACGGGTCGTGGTGTCGATTCCTACCAACAACATGTTTATCATCTATTGATCATTTTTCTAAAACATGTTGGACTTCGCGGAATATCGAAATTCCGTTCACATAAGAAAAAACCGTGAAGTTTAATCGCGTTTCAATTTGTAACCTGGACTTCCGAATATTCAAAGCCAAAATAGATCGACAGCGCATCTTGTCGGGGTATATCGAGTGAATTCCACGCTGTCTGTCCTCCTCTCACATGAAAATTAAAAAGAACTATGTTTCAATACTTCGTTTAATGGATATCTACATCCTCCAATATAATTCTAAAGCAAGTAAAAATTACAAACAAAGCGGAGAGTTATAGCTCTCTATTCTGAGCGTTTAAGTGAAAACAGACTAGCAAAAGGAGGATTTATGTGTAACAGTTACATATCTGTTACGTTAATGTAATTCATGGCGGAACGAATTAAGCCGGATCCAAGTAGGTTGATTTACACTAACCAGATGTAGATGGACTAATACTCTCTCCGAATGCAGTTTCTGTTCGTTTTGTAAGTGTTCTCGGTGGTTAAAAAATATTACGGCTTCCGTTGACTAGACGGCAAACTTTGAATTCCTCTTTGTGTAATCTTCATTGTAATCATTAAATAACAATTGTAATGTATGGGACCACCGGGTCCAGCATAGATATACTTAAATGTATATTTTTTCGGTAGCGTGTTGGTGTTTGTATGAAACGTCTTGATATTTAATATTAATATTGAAATTTCGTTCAGTTCACATACCGCCGTCCACAAATGGAAAAGCAGTTAAGTGTAATCGCATTTTGGTTTTAGTCTGTGAATTTCTGAATGTCAAAGGTCAAAACGGTCGGCAGCGCATCTAGTGAAATTAATGCTTTTTACAATTTAAACCGCGAAATATTAGTTAACTTATTATTTCATTTATTTTAACTACGGTCCGACGTTACGGGTGCTTTGCAGCAGCCTAACATCACTGTTCCAAACCGTTAAAAGTATTCTATTGTATTCAACTTTCTATCCTTTGGCTAAAACCCATTTGAATGATTACACAAATTTTTTGTATGTAGCATTGTAAACATACGCTATTATTAATTTATATTTTGGCAGGCATTAAATTATTATTGATAATAAGGTTCAGAAAACAATTAAGTACCTATTTAAATAAAACTCTTTAACGGTTTATAACGCGATACTAAACTTGTTTGAAAATGATTTTGACTTTAATAATTAACTACGGCTCGATGTTGCGGACGTTTTGCCGTCATGACTGCTGCATTTAAAAATAATTTTCAAACAAGTTAAACTAAAATATATCGCGTTTTAAACCGTTAAAGTGTTTTATTTAAATGTGTACTACTCGCGTAAACAACAGACAGTATTAAATTAAGTACCTCCTTTTTAAGTTCTGAATGTATTATTAAAATTACGTCCATCTAAATGAGCAGATAAATGAACCATTTTCATCAAGATATCATTATAAGTCGGATTCGAAAGTTGTTATAATGCATAATTGATATGAATAAATATTTCGGCAAGATCAAAGGCCAAAACTATATTATTTTATGATTTCGCCGTAAAAGGTATTCAATTAGTATTTTTTTTATTTATTTATTGGACATTTATGTTGCCTCCGAAAACCAGGTCAAAGGGACAAACCTGTTTTTAATGAACTTAAAACTAAATCGGTTTAATATTTTAACGGATAATTGAAAAGAATTTCGTGGGAAGTTGGATTACGACTGCTTAAAGATTATGTAAATATTTATTGGAGGAAATACCCGTATTTCATGATGGTACAAATTAGACGTTTAGATCGAGTCAATCAAAGGTTTTATTACAAAAAGCATAACAATAAAAGTTTAAATAAAACACTTTAACGGTTTAAAACGCGATATATTAGTTAAACTTATTTGAAAATGATTTTTAAGCAGCCGAAACGTCGAGCCGAAGTTTAAAATCATTTCCAAATAAGTTTAACTAATATATCGCGTTTTAAACCGTTCAAGTGTTTTGTTTAAATGTGTACTACTCGCGTAAAGTATAGACAGTATATAACAATAAAAGTAATATACTATGACTAATGTAGGTAGTTTGACAATTGCCATTAGAAATAGTGCTCGTTTGTATCGATTATATACGCGATTTGTTTTCTTGATTACTTATATAACATTTTAATCTAAACAACTCGTTTTTTTAATAATATTTTCACTTCCAATTATAAAAAATAAATACATTAATAATTTAATAAAGGTACCTCATAACAATATTATCTATTTTATAAGGTTATTTAGGTCGCTAGGCACTTTACTAAGTGTGCGGTAGCCGTAAATAAAAAGTATGCAGGGTGTTATTCATAGTACGTAACAAAAAATTATATAGCTGTGAACTTTTCCATCCTATATGAGTCTGAATCTACCCAACTAGGCACTGCAACGCCCGCGCCGGTAGATCTCGCTAATATCACTCGGTAGATTCGAATAGACGACTCCGCAAGGACTATTCTGTAGTCATAGCAAAGTGTATAGCGTGTGGTTAGTAAATATAGAAATGAAAGGAGAGCTAAAAAGCACACTTTGATTTCCATGTAAACAGAACGCGCTCAAACGCGTTCAGAACATCCCGAGGTCGCGTTTTATTGTTCCCAGTTCCCACTAGCGAGCTTTATATGTCTGGACTATGTGCGTGGAAGAGTGATGGCTTTTTAATGTTCTATGTCAACGTTTGGCCTTTTGAAAACTATGTATTATGAAATCACTCGAATCTTTCCACATGTCTTGCGCAAGTCATTTCTCAATCGATACAGAATTGGGTAAACAAACGGCCGCAATTCGTCACTAGTATAATATTGTTCTAGAAGGAATTGTGAGCTGGTGGTATGATTTCCTATAATGCAATGAAGTAACACATCTTAAGATCATTTCAATTCAGATTTCGTTTAAAATTACCTAGAAGAAATAATGCCGATCTTATGTGACTCTTTTACAAATAATTGTAAATCGGAAACATCTAAGTACTTGGAATCAAAAGTTAGTTCATGTGTGGGTACATTATTTCATTCACATTTTACATGAAGCTTACTTTTTCTATGTGAACAGCAATAACTACCGTTCTTTATATTTTACTATGAATATGAAATACAATTTTGTCATTTTAAAATGCAATCTGTCAAAAGTTTGGTTCGTCAATGTAAAATAAAATATTAAAATAAATTATTAATAATGTTTATATTTTTTTTTACAACTTGTTCGCTCAATTGATTAGCAACAGCATGGAACGCTGACGATGCCAGTTCAAGTCCTGCCTGAGTTGAATTTATTATATATATATATATTTATTTATTTCATTTAATTTAATAATGTTTATTCACTTAAACTTCATAGCAATTCTCAAAGATATAATTCGCATTATTCGTAATAAACTCTATTAAAAAATAACTGCCCCCCGCTTTTTCGAGAGCCCGTATGTTAACCAAGGATTATCTTTCAATTAAGACTGCAATTTCCTTTTGTAATCGCTACTGTTGAAGAGATAATATTCGAATTAACGATATCAGTAGGAGGGCAAGGCTACAACCTTCGCTTCTTGAAACCACTGGGCCAAATGATGTCAGCGAGAAAAATATACAAAAATACTTCTCGGTCAGTAATAATCTAAAACTATATATACTGTCTGTAGTTTACGCGAGTACTACACATTTAATTACAAATATTTAACGGTTTAAAACGCGATATATATTAGTGAAACTTATTTGATAATTATTTTAACTACGGCCCAACGTTTCAACCAGTGACCACCGGCTGTCGTCTTTTAGAGTTTTATTTAAAAAATCTAAAACTAGTTTTTTCTCACTGTCGAGTATTCTCAAAGGTAAAAAACGAATATATATCGCGTTTTAAACCGTTTTATTTCAAAAATCTAAACCTATGTTTACAGTGTCGAGTATTCTCGAAGGTATAAGATCAATAAGCTGTAATCCAAATGGGAGCCAAACAATCAAAGATAACTGAGACAATAATGGATGGTATGAATAAAATATCCTTATAGCATTACGTATTCCATTACTTTGCCGTTGCGAGAATACTGCGCTGATCTACCACATTGTTCACGAATCGCTCCTACTTTAGTACAAATGCGTGCTCCTATTTCGCAAAGCACCTTACACACAGCGAACATTTGTGTTGTCGCGAGTTTTAATCCGCAAGGAGCATAAGAAATGGATTACTTTATTATTTAAAATTTTGTATATTATAAAGAGGCTAGTGAAGATATGGAGAACGAGTATTGTATTGACTTATGTGATTGTAGTAATCTTGTTAATTGATGTCTGCTAATAAGAGTTATTATTTGTCGTTGATATATGGGGTATTACTTGCGTAAAGCATTATCTGTACTAATATATAAATCTGAAGAGTTTGTTTGTTTGAACGCGCTAATGTCAGGAACTACTGCTCGGTGGCGAAGAAACAGCAGGAAATGTAGGACATTAATAAATGTGTGAATCGCCATGTTCCATGAATAGGCGATAATATAAAGGTTCTATTTAATTTCCCTTAGTCCTACAAATATTATTTGAGGACTAGTTATAAACTCTTGTTATTACTGTATTTATTAACCATAAATGCAGTTACACCTAGAGGAGATCAATCATAAAACAAACCTGCTGCCAAACGTGATACGGGAAGCGGTATGCGACTAGCGCTGCAGCAATGGTGTGTACAGTGGGCAGTAGCAAGCCGAAAGCCGCTGCAACTGGTGCGCCCACGGGCAGTAAGGCATATGCCGCGAAAACTGCCCACACGACATGAGCGGCGCCTTCAACAGCCGCGCCCGGGCTCCAGGCGGGCAGTGTGGCAGCGAGAGCGACCCCGCCGCCTGCTAGAGCCAACCAGCAAGCCCGTGGGAGCCGCCGTTCTGGTGTCACACCACCGGCTCGGCCGCACCACCAAGCCAAGCCGCCGCAGAGCACAGCATGTGCGCTTAGTACCCCGACCTAAAAATAAATTATTAAGTCTTAACAATTTTAAAAATTCTTGTCTTACTAACAGTATTATCTTTTAAATATGATATTCTGTATTAACTACCATTGATCTCTATACTTTTTATAATTCGAATGACACGATTTGACACTTGATGGAAATAGTACTCCAGCCAAATAACATCTAAGTTAAATACGCTGGTGTCCTGTTTTGATGACTGTATTCATGCCTAAAGTCAACATTTTCTAGAGGAGGTTGAAGAGGCTTTGGTATAATTATAATTGATGGTAAAAACCTGGAACTGGTGGGAATCCTTGGATTATAAGAAGCCCTACAAACTAGCTCTCGGGACTGACCTGTGGTGCTCGACGCCAGCCCCTCGTAGCGTCGACAGCGGCCAGGGCAGCAGCCAGTGCAGCCCACAACGCCAGAGCCGAGCCCACCGAAGTGCGCTGCAGCTTACACGCGTACCGTGCGTACAGTTCCTCTAGTTCAGCGGACTCGAAGCGGCGGCGCGCGAGCAGGCGAGCCAGGGGCCCGCGCGCCGACATCGCTTTCACCGCGTGGTCCATGCTGCCTCACCTCGCCCGGGACGACTGCCGAAACCCCTGCCGCTTCATCCTGTCACAGAATATAACTGTTAAAGAGGTGCTGCAACCGAGATAACTATCGTCAACGAATACTTTGACTATGCAGTGTTATTGCCAAATTTCAGTTTTAGTTTTTACACGACAGGTAGATATTTATAAGGAAGAAAAATTTTTATAAGAAATCGCTTTCAGTTAATGCTCGAAACCGCATTCCATACAAACTTTTATTACATGATTACATTTGATATTTTTTTACAACTGATTTTAAACCAATTAATTTTATAAACCATTTTTAACGATTTTAAACGTTAACCAATAGAATATAACTAATAACGAAATATATAAATAACGTAACATTATTGAACCTACAATCCACAATTGAAATTCTGTGCAGTTACCGTCATGGGGGACTTTAAACCACCAACCCGAACTGCGGTAAAAACTATTAAAAAGTGTTTTATTCAAATGTGTAATACTCGAGTAAACTACGGGCGGTATCCACTTAGTCGTTTCCAAATAAAATAACGTTGCAAGACAGAACTTTTCTCCGCCCTAAAATAAGCCATATATACGAAATTGTAACATCCACAAAGCGGTACTTAATCATCTGACTGAAAAACCGAGGGATCTCTAAATTGGTTAATTTCAAACGGTAACTCGGCATACGGCATGAGCATAGACTATAATTAAACCATGACGAAATACACTATTACTTGGGTAATGCACTTATTACTTACTTAAATATATATACACACAATAAAAGTAATTTTAGAAAAATAATTGTCCTCTAGCACATTTCTACGTCCTCTTCACGGTGTGAATAATATCAGTTTATTGATTCCCCGAGATTCGAAGCCAGGATCTCTCGTGTGTTTAACAATTATGCCAGTATTAAAAATACTAATTTAAAACTGAACTAAATAATGTGGCTTCAATAAGAATCCTTCATATCTCACAGAAAGAGAGAGAGAAAGTAAAACATAAATAATACAAGAAACGAAATTTAGAATATTTTTAAAACTTTTATTTATTCACTAAATTCGATCCGGCCTACATACGATGTGCGTCATTATTTAAAACAACGCTATCGTCTACGAAGTCTCTAAATATTTGAGATAAAATGGAACAGGTCACCCAATTCAATAAAGCACTTTTTATGCTTTATAACGTAAAATATATTATTTAACTTATTATTAAAACGTTAGAGATGCTTCGCAGGAGCCGTAAAGTAACTAATATATTTTACTTTAATCCGTTAAAAGCGTTTATTTAAATGTGTTCTACTTAAATACTGTCTATAGTTTACGCGAGTAGTACAGTAGTACAATTTAAAAAAACACTTTAGCGGTTTAACGGTTTAAAACGCGATTTATAAGTTAAACATATTTGAAAATGATTTTTAACTTCAGCCCGACGTTTCGTTGTCTCTCCGTGACCACGGCTGCTGCAAAGCATCCGAAACGTCGGGCCGAAGTTAAAAATCATTTTCAAATAAGTTTAACTAATATATCGCGTTTTAAACCATTAGTGTTTTATTTAAATGTGTTTATTCTTTTATTCAAACTGAAATTCATAGAGACAAAAAAAATATATATGAGTCGCAGTGGCTCTATATATAACACATCAAAACTTTCCGATACTGTATAATTATGTTTATACCATATATGTACATCAGTAGATGACATTAAAGAACTACAGATGGAAAAAAATAATAAGATTCTGCAAGCAAACCGGAAGGTTTGAAGGGGACACGGGAAGAGTTGGATGACCCAATCCTCTGCAAGGAGGAAATTGGGAAATGGGTGAAATGGTCAGCGGATAACGTGGACTGAACACCCGTCCTGTCAAGGGTGTCCCCGATAGAAAATACTAATATATGTACTTACATATATTTTCAGGCACCTTATGTACTGAATTACTACAATGACCATTTAAGATTTGAGGAATAATAAAAGTGGATTTAAGAACCTACAAATTTAAATACACTTATATATAAAAGCTTAAATTGGAAAAACAAAAGAAGGACTTCCGAAATCAAATAAGTTTTTATAGCAATTTTTATAGTGTTTTCCCCAATAAGACCTTGTAAGGCAGAATATATAAGAGAGGACGGAGAAGAGAATAAATATTACATAATATTATGAATATATGTGTCAAGCAATAAAATAGACGTCAGGAAGACAGGCCACTCATACGAGTATATTACATTCAGGTAAAGGAAAAACTTACATTATCAATAAAAAATATTTGCGAGTAAAATTTGTGGAAGTGAATAGCTAGAACAATTTTGTATATTTACTTAAGTAATCTCAATAATGATTGTCTGTGAATACTTACATATTTGATATAATATGGAAAAATATTTACTTGAAGCAGGGATTAAGGAAATGTGAAAATATATTTTCCGTGTACAAGGCGGAGACATATATCTCTATTTCCGTTTCACCGATATTTTGTATTATTACAAACTATTACCAATATTTAAAGGCAAAATAGTGCGACAGCGCATTTTCATGGTGTGTATATAATATGTTTTTTCATTAAGTAAATCCCAAGTGTTTGCTCTCTCTTTCATAAAAAAGCAGTATCGTCAGTAGACGTAGATTCGATTCCTATCGAGTTTCATTTATTTCTTTATATCAATGTACATATTGTTTAAACATGTTAGACTTCGCTTGGAAAACGTGGATATTCAATCAAAACTGAGAGATGAAAAAGTCATGATAATATAAATCCGCGATCATGTTATAATCTATGGATTTCCGAATGAATTGCCAGAATAGATCGACCGCGCATCTCGTTTAGATGTCACGAGGTATTTCACCTCTTCTCAGTCATAAAATAGACACTTGAAAACTTTAATCGTTTTCAGATGTGATGACATTATAATAAAAAAATCAAAAAAACAATGCTAAGCAATGTGTTATAACTGAAACACCATTATATAAGATTATCTATTTTTAAAAGATATCTTGTTCATTTCCGTTTGATAAATACATAAACTTATTTCTAGATGAAAAAAACAGTTCCCCGAAATACCTAGGCTTTCAAACCCCGAAAAAGAATGCTCATAAACACTTGATTGATTTATTTCATCTTGGTACTCGCAAGTGCCATAATTTATTGGTAACAATGCAAAGAACGGCCATAAAATCAAACGTTACGTCTCGCCGAACTGAATTAGAGATAACACATGAAACAGCCGACCGTTAAGAGGAAGATAGCTTTATCTTTATTCAAATTAATGATGCTGATGAACGGAAGCAACTCAAATTCTTCATAACATATTAAGAGTTCAATCTATTTTCGATCTAAGAAAAGTCTTGAAAGAAACTCGAACTCACGACTTCAGCATTGTGTGCTATTGCTCTCCATCCTCATCATCCAAGCTGAAGAGTTTGTTTGTATTTTTTTCATTTCAACGTGCTAATATCAGGAAGTACTGGTTATTTAAATAACACTTAAACGGTTTAAAAGGCGATATATTAGTTAAACTATTTGAAAAGATTTTTAACTTCGGCCCGCGTTTCGGATGCTTTGCAGCAGTGGTCACGGGGAGAGCCGTTAAAGTTTTTATTTAAATGTGTACTACTCGGTAAACTATAAATATTTAACTACTGGTTATACTAATACTAATCGAAAAATTCTTGTGTTGGTTAAAGTATTAATCGAGGAAGGCTATACCTAGGCTATAAAACAGCGCTGTGTAAGCAAAACCGCCATGTAATAGTTATTTTTATTTTAAGTTATCTATGAGAGAGATCAATGAACTTCATCTCTTCTTAACAAAAGATAATAAATATATATGACCATGCTATTTGAAATAAATTATAATTAATGGATATAGCGAAAACTTTTAAAGAAATCTTGTTTTTTTTTGTAACATAAATCAACGACAGTCAGTTCCTTGACAATAATCTACTAACAAACGGCTTTTTAACTAATTCGTTTACTTTCATATAAGGTAATCATTTACCACATGTACTTGTTTTACGCGAGTACACATTTAACAAATATATTTAACTGTTTAAAACGTAAGACATCGGTTAAAACAAATCCAAAATATTTTGTGTTTCAAACTTCTTTATTCTTTATAAAGAAACAAATGTACATTGCATATTCATACAGTCGCATTTAAACTTCCTCAACTTTGCGACAAAAATAGTCTTTGTAAACACGATGTCGTACTCGTTTTGAGGAGACGCCGGGACAAATAAATAGTTCCGAGGCAACTTTCAGTGGAGGAAGGGGGGAGGGGTTCACGGTCGCCGGGTCAATAAACCCAGTGGATATTGTGGCATAGACAGATGAGTCGCGAAAACGTCGCGGCGCACGCTGTTGTCGACTTTTATATAGGCCTCTCGAAAATAATAAAATTCATTCACTAAAGCCTTTGACGGTCCCGGTCGTTTCACATAAAGGCCTTTAAATTATAGCGAGTATCTAATATGTATGTATATATGTAGCACAAAATTGTAGATGTTACCGTCAAATTAAAATACTGATACTTTAAAAACGATTTGCACACAACCGTATTATCTAGAATCTAGATAGATGAAAATCGTAAAAATGAACGGAGATCGAATCTTCGACTTTTCGTGCACAGAACACTGAAGTAATATTTTTAAACTTTCAGTATTGAAAGCATTAATATTTTTCACATATAAGGAAGGCAAAAAATAAGGACACCGTAGCTCAATTGGTAGGCAGCGCGGAATATGGATGCCACTTCTCCCTGTTCGTGTCCTACCCCGGTCTAAAATTGAAACTTAAATCGATTTTGAATTTTACCAGCATTTTTACCCACACGCAAAAACCAGAAAATCATTTATTTTATTTTGTTTATTCCTAGAAGGGTCCCAAACTTTACCCGTGCTTTCGTAGCTATAGGCAAATTCTACTCGGAATAATAAGAGGGGCGGATTGAGGGAAAACAAGGATTACTTAAGGACCTACTCCAT